GACAGTTTGAATGGAGGATGAATGGATAGAAGATATATCCGAAACGGCTCAATAACTCTTGATGAAAACGTGTTCACATCGGCTACTAATTAAGTTTTTTTAATCATGTGCGGACGGAGTTGCTAGCGGACAGCTACTTAATAATAAAAATAAAATAAAATTAGAAAAATAAAATAAGCTTTGTTATATCGATGAATATTAAAAATATTTTATCTATGGTAATCATTAACATTGACATTATCTGTCATTTTATTTCTGACAATTTGACATATTGTGTTTTCTTTGTGTTACCTTTTAAATTTTTTTACAGAAATATTTATTATTTATTTATATTGATTTTTAGAACGTATACTTAATATAAAATGACTCAAGATACTACTGAAGTAACACATTTGATTTTGAAACATGACGACGACTCTTCAGTAGAGGTGCCTGTCAGCGAGTGGTCGTCTATGATCAATGAGGGTCCTGGTGAAAATCCTAAATATGCTTTATATGCTGCGGGGTTATACCGACCTGGTAGCGGTGAGATATGCGCCAAACATGTCGCAATGTCAGCAAGCTCTGTTCTTATACATCCTTACTACCACTACCCGGCCATACCTGATCCAGGAATTAAAGAAGCAATATTAGAACCAGAAGAGAAAGTTATTTATACAGATGATGGACAAGCTAAATATTTAGCCGCTTGCAAAGACATGAATCAGTACGTCGTTGAAACTTTCTATAAAGGACTATTAGAGGAAAAGATTGACTTAAAATATTATTGTGTCGATCCTTACGGAGTTAAAGCAATGGCAATAGCTCTCAAAAACAACAAAAATGTTACTTCTATAGATTTCACCGATAATTTTCTTAACGATGACGCTTGTTTTCATTTGGGTGAAATGTTAGTTACAAATTTAGTAATGCGAGAGTTAAATTTGACTGGTTGTCGAATAGGAGCAAGTGGGGTGAAACGATTAATGGCAAATTTGCCAACAAATCGCTCTCTGCGATGTTTAAATCTTAGCAGAAATAAGTTAGGTGATGAAGGCGCAAAATATATCCTAGATGGTTTTGTTCGTGGTCTAGAATTACCTCGCTTGATTTTAAGATACAATGATTTGACCGGTGAAGCTGCTAACTACTTGACCGAAGCTCTAGAGACCTATGATCGATTTACACTTCTGGACCTTTCCTGGAATAAACTTTCCCTTATCCCATATGGCACATTTCATCTGCTGCTACAATTGAGTAATTGTGAAAATCTTGAAGATTTAAATTTATCGTGGAATGCTCTTTCTGGTCCTCGCATTGGATCCGCTATAAAAGCAGTTATGTCAGCTGGCAAACTTAAAAAATTAGATATCAGCAACAATAGATTTTCTGAAGATGCTGTAGACGATATTGCAGATGGTATGTGGTTCGCAAAAAAAATGCAAACTCTCGATCTATCGTATAACCCTATGACAGTAAATGATGCCTTAAAAATCATTGGTAAAATGAAATTCGGTAGAGTTAAAGTGCAAAATCTTTTAATGGAAAATATAATTGTTGATTCAAATTTCATGCAGCAATTACGGCATATTAAAAAGATTAAGAAAAAAGTAATTATCACCCATGGAGACGTCATTGACACTAGTAAGCCGCCAGATCCTGATTTGCGAGAAATTGTTCTAAATAGAGCAGATTTCTTAACGAAAAAGCAAAAAAAGGTACAAACAGATATAGCTCTTTTTGCACAGCAACTTGTTAAAGAAAGTCGTACGAAAATGAATGCCAAAGCTTTTGCTGAAGCTGTTGAAGCATCTGGGTTGCCGTTAAACGACGATCTTGTAAATGAGATTATTAACGCTTTCCCCGGACCGAAATCCGGAAAAGGAAGAACCATTGATGTCAATCATTTAGTAGATTTTGCAAAAAGAAAATGGCCAGATCGCAAGCTGCCCCCCACTCCACCTCCGGAAATTGTTGAACCTGTTGTTGAACCGGAGCCTGAGCCAGAACCAAAAGGGAAAGCAGCTAAAGGTGGCAAGAAAAAAAAATAAAATTAATTTTTATCTATTTTGCATATTTTGTAAAATTTTTTTAAGACACGTTTATTGTTCATGTATTTCCAATTCTTTCATAAAAAAATTATTTAATTTTGATATGCATAGTATTTAAGGTTTTATTATTATAATTTAAAAAAACTTTTGACTTTTTTTTAAAACTGAAAATTGCTAATCATGCATTTCAATTAAAAACTACAAGCTTTGCTATTTTTCGTCTTTTAAGGTTAACAATTTTTGCCAAAACCATCTGTCGGTTCCATTCTTATATTATACTACTGTAAGACATTGTAAATTCCAAAATCGAGTTCTTGTCTTCTTGATTCTGTTCATATTTTACCTCTTTTCTTATCTTATAGAAATAAAATCAAGGAAGAAATAAAAAATCTGAAGACCAAGTATTGACTTATTAGTTGTCATTATTAATGACAAACAAATAGATTTAGATAAGAATTTACACAAGAAAATAAATCACATTTACAACATAAAATGAGTTCAAATACAAACCTTGAGGTTGTTTTTGAGAAGGATAAGCAGCAGGACGAGACGAAAGTTACAGAAGAGTGCGTGTCTTCTGAAGAGCCTCCTATAGAAGAATGGTCTTCGCTCATTCTTCATCATTCTGAGGAAAATATCAAGATTATTAATTACAGAAAAGGTCTGTACGACCCTGGCAGCGGGGAAATATGCACGAATTATATACCTATGTCTTCAAGTTCCATTTTTCGACATCCTTATTATAACTATCCAGCAATTGTCGATCCAGGTGTCAAAGAGGCCCTTTTATATCCTGAACCATTGATTATTTATCCAGAAGATGGTCAGGATTTATACTTATCGTTGTGCAAAGAATCTGGATTGACTCCGATATCTAGTTTCCATAGACAATTATTGGAAAATACAATTAATTTGCGATATTACGGCGTACAACAAATGGCTTTCAGAGCGATAGCAGTGTCGTTAAAGTCGAACATGTTTGTAACTAATTTGGACTTAACAGACAATTGGATCGGTGAAGATGGATGCTTTCATTTAGGTGAAATGTTAGCGGAAAATTGCACTATAAATGTATTAAATTTGTGTGGCTGTAGGATCGGATCTGAAGGAGCAAAACGTATGTTTCTCAATTTACCCAAGAATAAAACACTTCATGAATTGAATCTTAGTAGGAATCAGCTTTATGACGAAGGAGTTGAACACCTAGCAAAGGCAATAATGCGAGGAGCAGCTGTATGTAACATTAATTTAAGCTATAATAACTTAACGGATCAGTCCGTCTTACATATCGGAGGAGCTTTAGAAGTAAATAATAAAATAAGTCATCTCAATATGTCATGGAATATGCTAAAATCACCTAACGCTATTTTCGATTTATGCTGCAAGTTAGAAGGAAATGAGAATTTTATAGATCTAGACCTTTCTTGGAATACATACAGTGGTAAACGATTCGGAACTTGTATAAGCATACTTCTTAAAAATCCTAGTTTCTTGTACCTTAATTTAAGTTATAACAAATTAAATAATCTAGTAGTCAATATTTTAGTTAAAGCTTTAAATGAAAAGTCATGTCTTCATTCATTAGACATGTCATGTAATCCCTTAACGTCTACCGATGCGTATAACTTATTGTCAACCATGTTGAAATCCAAAGTTAAACTGCAAAAGCTGAAACTGGACAACATACTGGTAACGCCAGAATTTCTAACACTTCGAAATAAAGTTCTTAAATTAAAATTTCGCAAAGACGCTGAAATCACTTACGGTGACGTATACACGAAACCTGTTCATAAGAGTATCGATCTAAAAGACTTAGTACTAAATAGGATAGACTATCTTTGCAGAACGAAATTCAAAAAGCATCACGTCGATATAGCGCTAATAGTAATGGCGTTATACAAATTAGACAAAGAGCCAATGCCTACGAAACCATTTCTGAAAGCACTGAAGGATTGTGGATTGCCCTTGGAAGAAGACTTAGCAAATCAGTTGACAAGTTTATTTGCAGGGCCTTTTAGAAATAAGTCAACAACTGTAAACATGGCGGCCATGATAGACTTTTTCAAGCGCAAGTGGCCAGACCGCAAGCTGCCGCCCACGCCGCCGCCCTCACCCCCTCCCGAACCACCACCACCACCTCCTGTTAAGAAAGGTGGAAAAAAAACTCCAAAGAAACAGAAATAGTTTTGGTGAAAGTGATATTATTTTTATAGCGAATATTGTAGTAATTTTTAGCATTATTTATTTGTTAATTATTAATTTAACTTTGTAGCTATTATATTAAAAGTACCTTAAATAACGTACTGTTTTCATTCGTCAAGTGATATGTAAATCAATAATTGGATACACTTCTACAGTAAAATAATATCTTTATTCTACCATTTTCGCTACGGAGGGTCAGCAGTGTATGTACTACACCAACATATACCAGTCAGCCGTTATATCTGAATTCACACCCTTCTTACGCATATCATCTATATATATAAGGAAAGTCATGTTAGTTACACTATTTATAACTCAAGAACGGCTTTACCGATATGGTTTAAAATGAGGAGGTACCTTAGAGCCAGGAGACGGACATAGGATACTATTTATGCCTTGAAGAGCTGCTTTTTATTTAACTTACTAATATTATAAATACGAATGTTTAGATGGATGGATGGATAGGCTACACTAGTTAAGTTTTTTATAATATATATCCACGCGGACGGAGTCGCGGGCGACAGCTAGCATTTTCCTACAAAGACATACTGATCTGATGTTTTAAGGAAAATCATTAAAGCGTAAGGTGTATGTAAACATACGCACCATTTTTCTCTTCTTATTTTTTTTTGTGATTTAATATTCTTTTTCTTATTTTCTGGTACAATTCAAAGCAATGGAAACTACTTTTTATCAATCTTTCAGACATATTTCTATAGAAGATTATATTACTTGTCATGCAAATGTCATCATAGATAACAAAGAAGTTGTCTTCAAAAAGATTTATTTCAGAATAACAGTTACATTTGCTCCATAAAATGAGTTCTGAGGTAGACTTGGAGGTTTACTATGAGAAGCAAAATGAAAAAGAGGAGTCAGCACCTCCAGAAGGGTCAGTTTCTTCTGAAGAGCCTCCTATGGAAGAATGGTCTTCGCTTATTCTCCAAATACCTGAGGAAAATATCAAGATTATTAATTACAGAAAAGGTCTGTACGACCCTGGCAGTGGCGAAATATGCACAAATTATATACCTATGTCTTCAAGTTCCATTTTTCGACATCCTTATTATAACTATCCAGCAATTGTCGATCCAGGTGTCAAAGAGGCCCTTTTAGATCCTGAACCATTGATTATTTATCCAGAAGATGGTCAGGATTTATACTTATCGTTGTGCAAAGAATCTGGATTGACTCCGATATCTAGTTTCCACAGACAATTATTGGAAAATAAAATTAATTTGAGATATTACGGCGTACAGCAAAAGGCTTTTAGGGCGATAGCATTGTCTTTGAAATCGAACACGTATGTAAATATTTTGGACTTAACAGACAATTGGATCGAGAAGGATGGTTGCCTTCATTTAGGTGAAATGTTGGGGGAAAATTGCACGTTAACAGTGTTAAACTTGTGTGGCTGTAGGATCGGACCTGAAGGAGCAAAACGGTTATTTATGTATTTGCATAAAAATAGTACACTTTGCGAATTGAATCTGAGTAAGAACCAACTTTTTGACGAGGGAGTTGAATATCTAGCTGAGATAATAATACGTGGATCAGGAGTACGTAACATTGATTTAAGTCATAATAGCTTAACGGATGCGACCGTTATTAATCTCGCAGAAGCCTTTGAAATAAACAATAAACTTACTCATCTTAATTTGTCATGGAATTTGCTTAAATCAGCTAACCCTATTTTTGATTTATGTTGCAAGTTACAGGAAAATGAAAATTTTTTAGCCCTCGACCTCTCCTGGAACACATACGGGGGTAAACAGGTCGCAAAATCTATAAGCGTGCTTTTAAAAAATCCTAGTTTCATACATCTTAACTTAAGTAACAATAACTTTGATAGTCAAGTAATCAATATTATAGTAAAAGCTTTAAGAGGAAAATCGCATCTTCTTACATTAGACATGTCATCAAATCCTTTGACGTCTACCGATGCGTACAATTTATTGGAACCCATGTTAAGGCCCAGAGTTAAACTACAAAAGCTTAAACTAGACAACATAGCAGTAACATCGGAGTTTCTAACACTTCGTGAAGAAGTTCTCCAATTAGAATGTCGCAAAAACGCTGAAATCACTTATGGTGACGTTATCAGAAAAACTATTCATAAAACTGTGGATTTGCGTGATACAGTACTAAATAGAATAGATTATCTTTGTAGAACTAAATTTAAGAAAGATAAGGTTGATATTGCACTTATAGTACTGACGCTATACAAACTGGACCCTAAACCGATGGATACGAGACCATTTTTGAGAGCATTAAGAGATCTCGGACTACCCTTGGAAGATGATTTAGCTAATCAGTTGACAAAATTATTTGCGGGTCCGATACGACCTAAAACAACTACTGTGAACTTGGCGGCGATGGTAGATTTCTTCAAACGTAAGTGGCCGGACCGTAAGCTCCCGCCCACACCGCCGCCCTCGCCGCCGCCTGAACCTGTCAAGAAAGGTCATAAAAAGGGTTTAAAGAAAAAGAAATAGTAATCTTAGTGATGTTATAAGTTTTAACTTTAATTGTCGCATTATTTATACTTTGAAACTTAGCATTAATTACATTAAAATACCGTTTATTTGCTGTTTTATTTTTTTAAGTTTGTGGAATAATGCAAACAGTATACAAGACACTAAATCAATGAATCCTATTGCTACAGCGTTCAGTAATTGAACGACGGAAAATATTATGAAGTCTGTTGTTTGTCTGTTTGAGTTAACTTTCTTTGGTCACAATTTATTATTTCATTGTTCCAAAGATTGTACAACGGCAACATAATTATGTACCAAACCATTAGTAAGGAGGATTTTGAAAATTGTTCTTAATTTTTTGCTGCGATTCTGAGTCTATAACATTGAATCTTTTAGAATAACGGTTATTGTGTATGCGCGGGCGCGGCTGTGGCCTGTGCTATGCGGTGGCGTGCCTCACGCGACCGAGCTAGCTTCTTTATTATTATTTATTGCTTTCCAATAATCTTTGGCTAGATATCGCGCCGTCCGCGCCACACCAAGCGTTCCCACATGTTATTATGTAAATAGGAGCGATGAAATCCCGTCCGGTGACATGTAGGAAGCCGATTACGATTAGTATATGATTATTGTTTATTTTTATTACTAAGGTTCCACTTCACACTTGAACCATAAATATTTTTAAAAAATTTAAGAGAGTAATAAATATGAATTAAATATTTATCTAGCTCTTGGACTATAAAATTTAGTTCCGCTAGTAATTTATATCTTTGTACTGAAAACAGATAAGATTTCTTTGCTACTAGTAACGGATTTTTTTTTAATCTGTGTAAATAAAACAGTACTAATATAGTTTTTATAAACCTACTTCATAAATATTTTTTTTATAATGTTTTTTATTTCTTTTGTTGCAGGTACGTGTCTGTAGGCGCATCCAAGTGAATTTTATTGTATTTTAAGGTTTTCTATCAAGTTTAAGAATAAGAAATACTGTTTAATTAGCTTCAAATGTGCTTCGCAATGTATTTTGTTCAATTGAATTAAGTATACTGCCAGTTAATAGACAGCAATCTAATTCGTGATTTATGTAGAGTTTTGTAAATGACCGGATGTCGGATTCTTTCTTGCAATCTTGTTCTGTGCTGACGAAATCGCGTAGGAATGATGTTAATGTTGGCGGCATAATTTTTTTTTCATCTAGGCACTATCGAGAGTGTCCGAAATTGCGGAGTGCCTGAGGCAACATTTATTTAGTGAATAGAAAGTATTCGAAAAGTTGTTGCTCCGCGTGGGCGTTCGTTGATTAGGAATTCGTACGTCGTTCGTTCGAAGCACAGACGGCAGTGTTTACACTTTTACTTTTCTTATATATTTTCTCTAGTATCTATGTACGATATTGTGTGGTTTATTTTGAGGAATTTCAATGTTTAATTTAGAACCAAATCTTCGAAAATCTAAAAATTTTAAACAACTTATTTTGTATACGTACAACAATTCAAAAACGTGCAAATCAAAAATGTGCTTTTTTACGATTTCACGAAAACATTGTCCTACTCTCCGAGGCATGTCATAAAGCTAAAATTTAATTCTATACCAGAACCATATTTTGATAAGCTCTCATAGTACCAACGTTGTCTTATCCCTCTTACAGCGTGATAAAGAGTGAAAATTTAACAACTCTTGTATAAGAAATTCCATTAATTTACACGCTTAAAAAGACAAACGCGTATCGACGCTGTATGTTATTAACGTCCATTCATTTTAACAAAACACTTGTTTTATTTTCATTTCTCTGAAATTGAAAGTCCGCGTCGGTCGAGATAATTTCATATGTCGTAACTCAATGTGGAATAAGATCGAACGGTGCGGGCTCGCCGTGTTGCGAACACGCTCTGTATTACAAGATTCAAACTTTATGGTAGCTCGTAGTTTTTGACATTATTAATTAGAATCCTTTAGCGCGAATTGCGCCCTTTCTGTACCCATTCTAGTGTCAGATTGATTAGTAATGGGACATAAACGTTGATATTTTAATAAGGCTTATGTTGCGCCGGTACACCGGCACAATGTCGGGTTTTCTTCCTAACAGTAGTTCGCTGAAAAAGATTTTATTCGCAGATGAGAACGAGATGAACCCAATGCTATAAAGGGAAAGCTTGAATAAGGATATGTCTCTCTTCTCTTTCCCTACGATAACTAAATTTGTTTTTATATCGTCTTGTATGAAAATACTAGCCGGTATTAGGTTTGAATAGCACTTTACCCAAGATCCGATATACAATCCAAAGCTTTAGTAAAAGCAACGGCGCGGCAATTTGTGGAAAAGCCTGAGGCGTCGTTTTCTTTTTTAACAATGCGAAATATCAATCTGTGGATTTTTAATTTTATGAAGCAATTAATAACAATTGTTACATTCGAAATTCTACAATAGTAACATTAAAATCAGATAAAAATTAAATTAAAAAAATCCTTGACTAAATAATTCTGTACGAAAAGATAAAAACTAGTTGCAATCACTAATTAATTAAATATTTTAACTGAATTGTGAAATGAATCTGGCCGAAATGAATCTGGCTTTGCCCAAATCCGTCATCGCCTAAAATAGAGCGGAGAAAGTTGATTTAAAAAAAAAAACAATAACTAATTAGTTACAAGCTACTGGTTTGATAAGTAACAGATCATTAAAATGCGAGCAAAAGATACGTAAACATACGTGGTCTTGTATATACATAGTTATGTATTTATGTTTCGATGCGGCGCATCCCTAACTAGGACACCTGTTGAGAAGTCGGCGGTTGACCTTTGAGAGTCCCCCCTCTTCCCCCACGTCCACTCCCCCGACCGCGACTCACCGGCAAAAGTAAAAGTTGCACGCGCACTCTTGAAGGCGGGCTTAGTTATACTCTCTTTTGATTACTTCTTTTGGCTATTTTTAACTTTGTTTACATTCGTTTATAGAGCTATAGATGAATAAACAGGATAATTAAGTGAGTTTCATTTACTTTAATCCTTGATATGTCTTGTTATTAAATAAATAAAGTGTCAAATATTGGTTTGCTGATTGCGCTATAGCTACAACGTATAAACTTCAAATTTAATCATCGACACGATGATTTGTAGTACTAAATTCAGCAATGGCATTAGCAATAATTCATTGACTAGCGACCGCTGCAACCTCCCGCGTCGTTTCCCCTAGCTAACACTAATGAATTGAGATATTTTTCTCTGTATTCCGTCTATCGATCAATCGGGCGTTTTGCAATCATCCGCTGCAGGCTTGCATAGTCGGTGCATACATAACAGATTGCAAGCTGTCTGTTTCGCACCCCACTACCATTGTGATTCATGTTACATCATTTATCTGACACTAAATGCATATATCTTAATACTTAAACCAGGACTTTTGTTCAAGAATTTTAAAAGCCTGGTATCCAAAATACACGGTATAGTTCTTTTCTAATATCTTGTCGGCTCGAGGCTATTAGCACGCTGCGCAGTGCCCTCCCCCCACATTCTGGGACGCCCTAAAATTATGTCTTGTGCAGCGACTCGTGTTAAGAGCCCTTAAGATATCTGTAGACTATTATGATTAAGTATTATACAAATAAAAACTAAAGAAGGAAGTTTTTATAGTACAACTACTGAATTACCAAGTCATGAAATCTTTGATTTGGAAACTAACGAGTAGGTTCAGTGTAGTTCAGTGTAAACTAGTTCTATATGTGTCAGTAAAAACTGTATAAATATAACATAAATAGAGCAACATTACATTTCTTGTCTCGTATCACACAATGTACCTGATGTACACATCAATATGTCGCCGACAAACGCATTGATATTCTCCGACTGTAGCCTTATCATTATACATCGTAAAAACTATATAATAATTAACACAGTATATACTCGCGTTTCAAATGAATGACTCGAGCACATTTGATTTAAAATAAAAATGCCACACCCGACTGACAAACCGCATCAAATTGTGTAACATCATCGGAAGGTTAAATCTTGTTACTCAATCATTTGCAACCATTCCTTCCCCGCGGATCAGCGAGCTGATCTAACCTCCAGTGAACTTCAAACTATTGGACGAGAACGATACAAAAAAATAATAATGAAACACTTTTATTGCATTACATTTAACGTATTTAACCTCATAACCTCAAATATCATTAACTTTAATATGTGAGTGGCAAAAATATTTGGTAGGTGTTTTAATGAAGGAACAATGTAGCGAAAGAATATACATATTTAGTAAATAAGACTGTAAATAAGACTAAAACCTGTATTAAATGCGGCATATCCAGAATACATCAAGGAATCTATAAAGTTATTTTCAGTAAACATTTTATGAAATATCATAAGCAGTAAAGTTTGAAAAGCTTTGATTCAATTCTAGGATATATTGTTGAGATGTGAGCGAGCCATTACTGCGGTGATTGCGTATCGCCGACGCCGACGATTAGGATGCGCGTGCGCCACACAAAGGCACCGTCTATGGATCTAATCCCGGATTAGAGGCGACGATCGGTTGGCCACACATCTCTTTGACTAACGTGGACTGTAATTTTAACTAAGAACTAATCTTGAGCAATTTTTCTTCTTTTAAAACCTAGAACACAGTATTCAAAACAGGCTTTTGTTTTTTAATATCTTAAGAACTCCTTTTGCAATTTAATCTGTAGTTGAATAGACTCTTTTTATAACCGAATTGTTACATTTACAGCTTTTATAAGAAAATGCTTAAATTAAACGTTAGGCTTTTATCTTACATGTAAAAAACATCAATCTTAACACGTATTTGGTACTGCATCAGTATAAATAAATGACGCAACATTAGTACTTGAACAATATGAACGTATGGTGCGCGTGCGCAGGCTCATTTCGTCGGGACACGTTCACGCAACTCCCACCGCGAGCTTATGTTTCGCAATAACGCACCCGGAACTCTTGGAACTTATTTTAATTTATATATTGTTTGCCAACACGTTGTAGCACTTGAAATATAATACTTCCTACACGCAACACCGAATTACAATACCAACTTCAAT